TTAATTAATTGGGAGGAGAAAGAATACTCGTACCACATAAAACAGTAAAGTCAAACGATGAGTTATTAAACAAGACAATTTATATAAAGCGAATGGTACACCATAAAACAAGGCCGTGAACATGTCGCGAATCCCTCTCCTTCACAAATCCCAACAAACCTAAATTTTTCCACAAACAAACGAAAACGACACCTTCCCCTACACTCATTTGAATGATCTTTACAACGCATGCATGCCGGCCGGCCTAAACGGCGGTTAGGGGCAATCATCTTTGCTTGGAGCAGTGTGTTTGCGAGCAAATTGCTGTTGAAATGGGGTTTGGAACCTTCAACGACACATTAACTAACACATAAGCCCAGTTTTTTTGCGAATCCAATAGCTCCACCTGAAATAGCGGCAATGTCAATCCAAATTTTCAGTTTGGTAGGCTTTCTTTTTTGTTTTCCTTCACAAGCCATTGTCTGGATAAGGACATCCCCAAGTTTGGTTTGGACACTGTTTAATGTATTCAAAACAACGCCTTTTTTTTTTTGTTTTTTTGTTTTTTTGGTCAGAGGGGGAATAAAGAAGAGGATAATGAAGGGTAATTCTGAATTTATGAGAAAAAGAGAAGGCCAAGACGCCAAGGAAACTTGGATCTCATGATATGGGGGCTGAATGCTCATTCTTCCTTCCTTGCATTCCATTTTGGTTTTTATTGAGTGAGAAAATTTCACATCAAATGTATAACAAAAAAACTTATGGGTTAATTAAATACAAGAAAAGTTATTCCACATATTTTTAATTGATTTTAAGTTATATATAAACCTTGTGTTGAATATATATGCACAATTTTTACAAGATATTAGAATCTGAAACTTAAATTCTGTTTTGAGAAGTCAATTGTTAACCTACATGACAGGACACAAAATTAAAGGCCACATAATAGGTCCAATTATTTCATCTATTATTAATTGATTTTAGATTATATAGAAATTTTATGTTGACTCCACATACATAATTTTCACACTTTTCAAGCATAAATGCAACCTCATCTCATAATATTTATCAAATACAATAAAGTATTATTTCATTAAATGAATTAAGCTGATCGAAACGTGTTTTAATTAAAATTATTAAAAAAATTAATTTTAAGATGAATATAAACTATATATAACTTAAATGTATTTTTTAAAAAATATCAAATTGATTTAATTACATGCACCATATGGTGACATGTAGTTACAAATTTTTATTTTTATTTTTTGAAATAGTAAGAAAAGATAAGCATAATATGTGGAGCTAGCAACGATTTAAGATCAACGAGAAGTGGATATGCATGGGAATATGTGATTTGGATGACGGATATTGACATTTAGAGGGGAGACGTGCGAGAGATCATTTTGACGCTGATTTGGTTAGTTATATGTCAAAAGTGCAAAATTTATTGCTGGAAGATTGTAGATTACATGCATGCGAAGGAAAAGGGATATTTTGCACTAAAATAATTGAGACCACACAGACACAGAAAAGGATTTGAGCCAGTTAATTGATTGACACCACAAATCAACCTATGCATGCGTAATGATTGCAATGTCCTTTCTTTTTGTGAAAAGTTTAGAAATTCAGTCTAAGATGCCCAAAAAATGGGAAGTTTCTTAATTGGGCCTAAACGGCAATTTCTTTGTGGGATTGATTTTAGGCAAAAAAAAAAAAAACCCCTCGCTCATGGTTAGTGCTTATGGATTGAGCCTTGTTTTGAACAATGATTTCTTATTTCTATTATTAAAAAAAATTGTTTTGTAATTTAAGTTATAAACTACTAATCATTAAATAAAAATTAAAAAAAAACCAGATATTAGATGATAATCTCTCCATCTAATTCTAGTGTTTTTCATTTCAAACCTTTTTTATATATATCTTCTTCTTTTAATATCCCTTTTTTTAAAAAATAAACCATTAGAAGTAACTTTTTCCCTTATTATTCACGCAACTTCAAAAAAATTATAATACATTCTCCTAATTTTTATGCATTCAAATTTGGACCCTTCAAGCATTTTCAAAGTTGGAGGAAGTACAAAGCACTAATAAAAACATGATTCTTTCCTTTGTTCGCATAAGAAATCTGCCTAAAAGATATTGATGAGATTTTGGCTGCGTTTGGAATTTACCTTGGATGAACACAGTTGCAATACTACACAACAATTCCAAATGCATCCAAAATTATGTCTTGAAGGGAACACAAACAACAAGGAGAAGGGTAAATTGAGGATAATAAGCAAGAAATCAGGGTTACAAAAAATAAAGGAACTCAACTGTTTCTTGTTCACATTAGTCACTTCCTTTCAGCCACAATACAGAAAATGAGAAGTATGAATGATTTTCTGGAAATGAATGAAATTTCAACTTTCCACTGGAATTTTAAACCCAGGAAAGAATGAATAATGAGAATACATATAGTATAAAAACAGAATTCAGTAGCTCTCACAAATTTTTTCTATAAATCAATGCTGATTTCGGTGCTGTGGGTGCGGATAAAAATCATTGCGGCCTTTACCAACTCTACAGCTTACATCATGCTGAAAATATGAATTTCTGACCTCATTTTTTACATTTTCTACCTCCAGCCCATATGGTTGTTTCCCACGGATTGGTACTTGAGCCATGGAGGTCCTTTCCTTTTCTGCTGCCTGAAATACTTCTTTCCCAGATCATATGAGGAATCCCTTGCCCGTTTAAATGTCTGTTGGTTGTTAACTGGGATGTCTGATTCTGGTTGCTTAAAACCAGTTGGGTTTGCAATGTATGCATCTGGATAACAAGTGGCAGGACCACAGCCGTCCTGTTGCCCATCTCCTATCACTTCTGTATTTCCAATGGGGTTACCAGCGCAAGTAGATGAAATCTCTTTCTTAGTGCGGGGAAATGGAGGTAAAGGTGGAAATGGATGAAATGGCATGCCTGGGGCAATAACCCAGCTCTCCACACTTTCCGCCTGGGGTGAACCAAATTGCTGCATGATAGGCACTGGGAATCCATACGATACAGGCAAGCGAGAGTTGAACTTCTTCTGTGGATGTGCAACAAAGATATCAGGAGGACACTTTGAATGGAAAAAGGCTGGTTGGGAGAAATCAGCAGCAGCTGGTGAAGCATGGGATGAAACAAGAGATGAAGGTTGAGGAGATGAAAACCCCGGTGGAACATCCTCATTAACAATCTGCCTTCCACTGTTGGCATTAATATCTTCACCTTGTTGAGAGTGATTGAGGAGACGGTCATGATCTTCAATCTCACCTAAAACAGGTAATGGGCTAGATCTGAGTTTCTTTTCCAACTCAGTTTCAACTTTCTGTTCTTTCTGCTTGTGCAATCTTGGATCTGGGTCTGCTGGCTGATCCCAGCGGCTTTTACGCTTTCGAACTCTGGTAACAGTGGCCTGGCAAACATCAGCAGAAGATGAACAGCCATCATGGACAGCAGTGCCTGAAGTTGTTGCAAGCAGTGACTGGGTATCAAGTGCTTCAGTGGGTTTCACACCCTGGTCATGCCAATGATTTTGGGATGCTGAAACCCCCCTGTTGCAGTTCAAATCCCGGTGAAAATCCATCCTACCCTCATCCCTCTCCTTGTAGCCTGGCTTTCTGACAGGCTTAGGAATCCATTTATCTCTAAAACTTCTTGCAATTTGATGGACCTGTACAAGGATGCTAAACGAATTAAAACTCATATACCAACCTATCCAACTAGTCAATGGCAGTAAGTGTTCAGGATATAGTAGAGCAGAGAAAAAATAAATAAAGAAAAATTAGATGAAATGAAATTCTACACCACAGCATGAAAAACATTGTTTGAAACAATACCTGTTTGTCCTCATGCTCTGTCAATGATAGCATTGACTCCCTAAAGCTGCATTAAAAACAATGCTTTTCAGGAAAATTTGACAGAAAAATGGCATTCTTCTATATAACTTGGGTAGTTGCTCTAACCTTTCCATTCCATGACATGGAGGCCCTCCATTAATATGCTCCAGAGTAAGTATCTCCCTCACTGCCAAATATTCTAAAATCTGCAGAATCAGTTATCAGCAAGCTTTAGTTTCTCATTCACAATTAAGTTGACGAATTCAACATTAACATTAACAATGGTAATGAAATTTAAAGACTTGATAACTGATAAGCAGTGTACTATATCATAATGACGGGAAAGAATCTCCAACAGCAGTAGCTTTTATAATGGTGTAAGTTGATACTGAAAATTTGAGAGATACTCTAACTGCACTATCAATGGCATTATGTGCAACCATTTATTCTGAAGCATTTGTCTTGAAAAGCTTAGCGGGAACATTTGTCATGATAGCATATCAAAATTAGAATATATCAGAATTCTAAGTTGCGCACCTTTAGTAGCTTCCGGAGAATTGGAATCTTTTTGAAGTCCCTTCTGTATTGCTTCATGATGTTGTGCAGCATTCGCAACCCTGAAAGCAAACAACAGCAATTCAAGCCAAACACCCGATGAAATGATTATGGGGATAACATATGTAAAATAACCAAAAGTTTTAGAGGAAAACTGAAAAGATCTTGGGAACACTACCATTTTTATTAATTATATCAGTCAATACAGCTCGTGATTTTGTCTTCAAAAGTGCATCAAGAATCATAGATAGTTCTCGATTGCTGTGAAACAGGCAAGATGGAATCAGAAAAAAAAAATGTGTGCACAATGGCTAACTTACAACGCACTGAGATAATATGTAAGGCATCAAAATAAAATGAATCTAAAATGACCTTTGAATTGCTTCACCATTAACGCTATCACCAGAAGCTGCTGTGAGAAGTAGAAGCTTCAAATAGCCTTTGGTTGCATCCTGTTAGAAAAAAAAATGCTTGAGCAAATGGCCTGACTGTGTAAACACAAGACAAGGGGAAAATAACAAGACATGTGATTTCTGAAACCAAGCTTTGAAACTAATAGTTCTTGCCAACACATTAGACCTCTTAACTTTTCAAACTTGAATAACCAAATTCTATTATTTTAATACTTAAATTTAATTTTGCACTGTTTCATACTTAATTATACATTATTTGATCAACTAAAAATGTATTAAAAAATAAAAGAATAAAAAATATCTGTTAAAGAACCACAATTCCTTTCTGTTATGAGTGCTTGTTTTGGTAATAGGAAATAACAGAAGGCATTGGCAGAATAACAGAAAAATCTGAACTATGAAGCATGCTTAATAACAAGATATTCATATATTTCTTTTGAAAATGAGAAAAATAGTTAAATCATTGAACTAAAACTATGAAGCCACACAGTTACCTAATAAATGCAGAAATAATGATAAGAAAAGACAAGCTTCTCAAACTACAACATGTTTAAAGAAGAAAAGGCAAAAATTATGACATTTCCTCCAATTGTTAAGGCCAAAACACCAAAATCACTAACTCAAGATTGAAGGCACATAAAAACTTACCCTCCTTTTGCTTATGCCCCCATCAGCATCCAGCAACTCATTAAGTTTCTCCTCAACTGAAACGGCATCAGAAAGCAATTATCGTGAAAATAATACCCTTAAACAACACTATCATTATCATGATTATAGAGTATGACTAACCTGCTTCAAAATGACCATTACTAGAACCTTCCACTGACTTTCTGGGTTTGATTGACATCACCTGATATTTGTTAGCAGTAAGCTGAACTTTATTTCCATTCAGAGGATTACTAACTTTTCCTTTCTTAATAGAGCTAGACAAACGAGGAATCTTCATAACTACTGGTGTTTTTGAAGAAGCCTGCCTGTCTTCTCCATTATCAAACTTGTACTTCTTACTAGCATCAACACCATCAGATGGCAACTTACAAACCGACAAAGTTAGAGAAGTTGGGTCTAATTTTTTAATGGAAGATGAGCTTTTGCTCATAGCCTTCTCTTTTACAGCATCATCATGTTGAACGGCAGACATGCGTTCACTTCTTACACCTTCTGTCTTTGGTGAAACTTCAGCTTGTTGAATGGATGACCTGAAATTTCCTTTCAAATCCTCAGTATCAATTGAGCTGAGCAGTTGGATGGCAGAGGACGCAGAATGATTAGTAGAGTGCTCAGTTTCTATGGTAGTCTCCGAATGACCAACAACCATAGTGGAACTATCCTTTTTCCTTCGGTCTTTTATTAAACTCTCTGCAGTTTGCATTTCTGCACCGTCAAAGGAACTTGATCTAGATACTGTATTTTCTAAGACATCCCAGGTATCACCATCTTCAAGCATCATAGGTTCAGGATATTCTTCATCTGAATCATCTTCAACAATTACTTCAGCATTAAGTGGATCCCCACCTATATAACCTCGACAATGAGGTGATTGACAGTGACATTTTTTAGCAGCAGCTCCGAATACCCTTACATAGTTGTAGTCAAATGTTACTTCTTCTCCCTGACAAAAGTTCCAACCTGGTTAACTAGGTGATGACAATTTATTTATGCATACAACAGATTGACAAATGACAATAATGTTATTCCCCATCAATATAAGTACTGATGTTATTCCACATAAATATAGCCTTTTCTTGTGGCCTTTTATTCAATTTCGTTTTGTCTCACGTCAGTTTAGCTGTGATTGCCAGACAATCAATCATCTATATGTTCGAAGCCAAACCCATTAAGGAAAGAGCTTAACATACCATATTGAGGGAATGTTTAAGCATACCTGCTTAATATCTCTCAATGCAAATAGTCCAATACAAATTTCTCCATTCACCATCCACTGTTCCACAGAGAAGATATTAAATTTTGCTTAAATTTCTTGAAATTAAAACTCAAGTAATACATTGAATGTTATGGGTAGAAACACCCATCAACAAAGCAAGATAGCAACATTAAGAAGTATATTCTGGAAAAGTAAGGGAGATATATTCTCAAGTCAGGAATGTGGTAAATGTGCTGTTCACCAACTGACGCAATAGATGAAACCAATAACAATGACATTAAACTGCCACAGGTAATATTAGACACAAAGCATGACAGAAAGTTCAGTAAAATGAACAATCAAATAAAATGATCAAGATCCTTTTTCTTTGGCCAACCAAAATATCAAGTCATTTTTTCTTGGCCAACCAAATCATCAAGATCAAAAGAAATATTGCAAAGGTCCATTGCCCAAAACCCTCCCCCACCTCACACTGGCAGATCAGGTAAATTGCAACCTGACAAAAGCAAACCATAACAATTTCAACCATAGGACCTATCTTTACAATTTCTGTTTTTCTTTTATTTTTTGAATAAATGGTTTATATAGGTCCCACTTAATTGGGAAGAAGGCATGGAGAGGCATTCAACAGAGAGGCTTCCTTCATAATTCAGAATCCAACTAACATTCAGAATCAATATTACAAGTTTATCATAATTTCACTGTTAATCTATATGATAAAATAAAAAGGCTTCAATGAATGATCACCTTCTCAGTTCTGCAATTAGGATCACAGCTATGGTTTATGAAACGCCCCAGATTTCCTTTTGCACATGCATCTATTACCTGGAAGACAGGAAATTTATAAATAAGATCTAAAATAAGCATCACAGCACAACAGTAAAAAGAGATTAGGTCAAAATAATCATATTAGCCACAACTATTCAGCCCAAACAATATTAGCTACAACTATAGTAATATGTGGCTTAGTATGCACAACAGGTAATGTTTCATAATTCCAATTTGTCATGGATCTCTTTCATATTATTGACTAAAAGAGAGGTCCTTCAGTCCTTCCCACATTCAATGTTCTATAATGGGGCTGAAAGAATCGGAAGGGCCCTTTACCTTGGATAACTTTGAATGTGAAAATGAAGTTTAAAGTCCTTATAACTTCATGAATTTTCCAACATAGAATAACTGAGGGAATTTTCACAACATACTTTAAATTTGATTTATGACTTTAGTATGGAAGCAAAAGATTCCTAAAACAGAGGGAATGGGAGAACTAAGAGACAATTCAAGTTGCTTGACAAATCAGAATGGTTAATACAATCCATCTAAACTAACTGCAAGCAGAGAAAATTGCAAGCTTTCACCATTCTCTGCGTTTAAGTAGATAGACTGGAAATAACATACAATGTCTTGGAGGAAAAGAGCCCTAAATGGACTTCTAGAAATATCTAATTTTGTGAGAATACTTTCTAGTAATGATATGGATTAAAAAATGTTAGTTCCGAAATGGCACAAGGTCCTTCAGCGCAATCATACACAACACAATAGCGACATAACTATTAGTTAAATATGTTATAAAAAAGCTACATAAAATCAACAGCTAACAAGGAGCAAATACGAACCTCACTGCCATTTAATGTCATGAAGTAGAAATGCCTCTGACCCATAGAAGCATACTCTTTTTGTCGTTTCTCATAAGCATGCATATCCAGCACCTGATGGTATACAAGTTTAGAAATGCTGAGAAAAAGTATATGAAAAGGTGTCTAATATAGTCAGTCAACATCGAAGTTGACCAAGAAACGACAATTTGCTTGGACAACGATAATTTGTCCTCATACCTCACTGACCAGACATACCAATAAGGTACTGCATCAGTATATAAGGCAAAAATATATAATTGTGTACCGTGTCCCTGTCCATTACAGTCACAGAAACATAAATTTGAGTAATGCTAACTAAATGATGTTGGGTCTATTTGATCCTTCCTAAAAGAAATAATAACAAGAAATCCATCATAATCAAACAACTTGTTTATGTAACGTATAATAAGCCAATCTACAAATCTCTGCTCAAAAGAGAAAAGAAAAAGGAATAGGAAAAAACACTACCCATCCATCATAGCAGCAAATTCCTTCCAATAATGACTATCTTTTGTGTAAGCAAACATAAGAATTTATTAAGAAAACTATTAGCTTACCTCTCCGACATACTCAATGAGGAACTGTCCAGCTGATATATCCTCAAACATCTTCAACCCATAACCTTTCTTTCCACATCTAACCCATTCCATCTTGGCATATTTGCGCTTCTGGAACTGCAAAATATACATTTGGAATATAATATTGCTTTTACAAGAATTCAAAGTAATCTCATTTAGACAAAAGTATATGGCATTATTTACTAGAAACAGCTGCAATACCTGTTGATTTGAACAGAGGTCACCACATGGGCAGGTGCCTTGAACACATTCAATGTTAAGCATCCGGTTTAGGCATTCATCCCGACAACCAAGCTGACCATCTGGAGGTGGTTTGCAGTGGCAAACCATTATCTGCTTAATTTTTAAAAAAAGTTAATTACAATAGTAAAATTAACCTTTATAACTACAAAAACAAATCTAAGCAATTGGACACATAAAACTTATAGAAATTATAAAAGTTTTTCCCTCTTTAAGGTCAAATGAAAATGTTGGCTACCATAATGGATGAGACCTTTGCACTACACTCAATAATCAAACTAATGGTAGATCCATAATATTTGACAAAAAATATTTAAAATAGAGGGTACCAATAGAAATTGGCCAGTGTTATTTGCTCTATAATGATCAAATTAGATTCCCAATCCCCATAACCCAAGATAATAGTTTATCAGAAGTCAACCAATGAAAGATAAAAGAGATCAGGAAAATATAGAATTTTTGACTCACTGAAGAAAAGGGGAAGATGGACTCTAAACTATGTCATGCTAGAACCATGAAAACCTCTGACCCTTAGCATGACTTCAGTTTATGCTAGAAAGCTTTCAGATAAGCTTATACCATAGTGAGGAATTACACTAAGATTTATTTTCTACATTATCGGTTCCACTAGCACACTTTCTTAATCTCCTTTAATTTGGAAACATATTCCAAATTAATGTATCTTAATAAGATTACATTTAAAGAAATATTTCATGTGCAAGCTCAGAATATTATCTTCTAGAAGTACCACTTCCATTGAGTGGAGATTAACACCTGACATTTCAAATTACAGTTACAGTTCAAGAAACAGTCTGCTCCTAAGCAACCAAATTATAGCACATCTAGTAAAGTGGCCTATACTCAGTTCTGCAAGAATATCTGGGTTCTGATGACCATCCATTACTTTTTCAACATTGCAAATGGTCCTTCAAATTCATTTTTCTTTTCTTTTATTTTTTTATTTTAATTCTCTAAACAAAGAATGGTCAGCGTTAAATTAAATACTGATGGATGGCCAAAAAAAAAAAAAGAATAATGATGATATTTGCATAATAAAATGAAATCAGGCCAGGACCTCATCAATGGTTTGAGTTTTACGCCTGCGATGCAAAAACTCATTACTATCAATACGCCAGAAAACTGATGCTTGCCGAACTGCAATAAGTTAAAAGTATGTCAGCACATGGAAAAACTAAAAAGTAGAGGAGTGAAGGGACAAGGATATTACTATACTACAGCAGCACCCACAACTCTAGCTCCAACTTTATCTCAAAGCTTGGTATTACAAGAAGAAATGCTATACCTGCTGTATTGTATTCAAGTCCCTTATAGTTTAAATGACCATCATAACCATCTTCATCAGGATCTGATAAGCCCAACTCCGCATTAATATCTCCATTAGACTTCTCTTGAGGTATTGAGCAATCAGCAAAAGCTTTATCCATGTTGTCCTTACAGATCCTTCAAGTAAATGATAAACACAGTTAAGAAATTAAACTGTTTTTTCCAACTCAACCATAATCATAAGCCATAAACATCAGGGTAATGACGGAAAGTCTAAAGCCTACGACTTTTTTTTAAAAAAAAAGAAGTAACTAACAATGTAAACCATTCTAATTTTGCTGTAGCTCAACAATACCTTAAGGGTCCATTTGATTTAATATTGGAAAAGCTCTATGGAAAAGCTTGATCAGGGATAAGGGATGAAGGACAATTAGGCACTACATGGTACATTTGCACTGTATTTTTGTGGAAAAAGGGTGTATTTTCCCAATGTGAACTTTCTCAAAAATGAAAGCATTTGGATCAATTTATGAACCATTTATGGCTATTAAGGACCAGAGGGAGGAGTTGTTCATGAAAGGTCAAAATTTAACAAGTTTACTGTCAAAAAAATTAAAAAAGTTCATTACACAGGATCAGACCTGAACAAAATTCAGTTAATAGTGAGATTGGAACCATAATTTGACACATTCTCCTCTTATAAACTACAAGTTAAAATTGTGAGAACAGTGCAATAAGCAATAAAACTAAGGTACAGTTATTTATTTTTTTTTTTTTTATATGAATGATTAATTCAAACTTATAGTAATTAACCTCCATCAGGTATCAAACATCTTTACAAAGTCCTTATCGTATGTCAATTCAATTAGTGGGAAGAGAGAAACAACAGAATAACATAGAAGAAAAGAAAGAGCATGTGCATGCCTGTAATGAAGTCAAAACATATTTTGCTCATATTGTACTAGACATTATTAACAAGGAAACAACTAGAGTGTTGAGAATGGAAACTTCTGGTAAACAAGAATATCAAAACAAGCGGCCTAACAAAATTAAGTTATTAAAACACTCTTTAAAATTTTGAAGCTTGCCAGAAGCAATATCTGTATAAAATATCAATGGTTAACTAAGTACTTAGTCCAGTCCTGATCTGCATCACAACCAAGTGACACACAAACTGACATGATGAAAGTTCACATTAAAACAAAGTGTGAAAAAAAAGAAAAAAAGAAAAAAAAGAAACAGGACCTAGAGAAATGACATAAAACATGGTGTGCGAACAAATGGATGAGAGCATACCAGCGGCATGATCCATTAATTTTATCAGCAAGTTTGACAGGTATGCGCCGCCATTGATAACAATCATCACAGCGCACCCAAGCACTATCTGGCGGAACCCATTTCTCCATTGTACCGTCTGATGACACATTCGCATTAGCTATAACTGCAGATTCAATGTCTTTGCCAGTATTGGTGTTCCCAACATAATCTACCTCACCATTTCCTACAGCATCAATTCACGTGAGATCAATACAGACTCTTTTTCTCATTCCTTAAAAACTATGCAACAGACAATGAATAATAATGAAAATAGATACGTAAAAGATTTAAAATGTTCCACCATCACCTCCTCCATCCTCCCCCCCTGCCCCCCACAAAAAAAAAAAAAAAAAAAAGAGGAAATATGGAAAAGGGAAAATGACCTGAGGAAGTGAGGGAATAAAGTTGTGAACATAATTGAATTTGAAAAAAAATCAAGTACCAGATTCTGGGTGACTCTCCACTCTGGATTCAATCCTATCAACAAGATTGTTCTCCTTTACTTTACTCTTGCGACCAGACTTCTGTTGGTTTCCCCTCTGTCTTGAAGCATTTCCTTTCTTGCTTCTTTCTGTGACCTTAGACCTTCCATTGCTTGCTGCACAAGATTTTGAACCTTTGGGAAGTTGGTGCCCCTTCTTCCTGGAAGAAATCAAATTCTTGGAATGCTGTAGTTCTGAAGCATCATGACTGCAGGATGCTTTAGCCTCCACGCCATTTTCAATTCTTGTGGAGACTCCAATTTCATTCTCACTTGACAGATGTAAAGGCTCAATGGAGAACTCCTTGCTGCTCAGGGAGACACTAGAAGCATCTGCATTGGTGGAGAAAGAAAGATTCTCACTAGGGTAAAAGCTTTCACCATCTTTTTGTCTGCCTCTGCAATTCTTGGATGATTTAGGCTTCGTTACACTTGCTGTCGTGAGAGATCTCTGATTACCTTTCTTGTTCCGCTTTCTACTCTTACTTCTCTTAATATCTCCAGGTGAAGCAAAATTTTTGGAAGTAGTCAAAACAGTATTATGCAAGCCTTCTTGATGCACCACACCAACTTGGCTATCGGGAACTGGATTGATAACTTCTGAGTCCGGTGAAGTTCCGGGATCCATATAATTTTTGACTGTTGCCCCACCAGAAGTTTCAACTACTGCATTGGATGGAATTCCAAGACAACCTGCAGTAGCATCACCAGCTGACATTTGCAAATTCTTAGTGCTCTCAAAATCCTTTTTCTCTAGTTTTACATCTATACCAGAGGCACCCTGGCATGCCATCACCTTCTCTGGGTTCTTGCTGTACTGTAAGTGCCTTTCAGTCCCCAGTTCCCCCAAATTATCTTCAACACTGTAAGCTGGCCTGGTTTCCTGGCACAACTCATTCCCATGATTGCAAAAGGAGGTATCAACAGAAGCTGATGCATCAACTACCCCTGCA